TTGACAATCTCTTAAAGTATTATGAATCACAGATGGTGGAGTTTATGAGAATGTTATCTCAATATTTAGTTCTGTTGCATGGTAATGTAAAAGGTAATTCAAATTTATGATTCTACATGAAGCAGAAAAAATTTTTAAATGAGAATTTTCTTATGATTTTTAAGGAGAGTAAACTATTTGATTCCAAACCTAAATAATTAAATTTGAACAGCTTTCTCAGGGGACCTGAAGCATAAATTCAAATAAGATTCACCTGTCATTTGTCACTTGATAATCATTCACTGAGTTTCTGTAGGGTTCTGGCTCTGGAGATCCTCCTGGTATTCAGAAGTCAAGGAAGGCACTGCCCCCCGCCCCAGCACTGTGCACCTGGCTCTCAGCCTAGAGCTCTCAGATGCCCTGGCAGATTCTCTAGCCAGGCCTGTGTCCACTACTGGCTGATGCTCACATCCATCACAAGATGGGGCAGTCCCCAGTAAGAGGCTCTCAGTGAGAGGAATGTATCTACATTGGGACTCCAAGTCCCTCAATTTTTAGAGCTTTTTCTCCATGAGATTAAAGAAAGAGAAGCCCCAGTTTTGTTTTTTGTTTTTTTTTTTTTTTGTGTGTGTGTGTGTTTAGGGTTAGAAATTGCCTTTATCTAAAGGGAATCTGCTATCTTCTCTGTTTTTTTTTTTTTTTTTTTTTTTAATTTCAAAGTTGCACATTCAGCAGGGCTGAAAACTCTTATTTTTTAATAATATTTTTTTTTATTTTACCAATAAATTATTGATCAAGTTCTACATGATAGAAGACTTTTATTAGGTCAATGGGAAAAGGTGCATGTTAGACAATGGGAAATTCAACGTAAAAGATTTATGGGTCCAATGCTTGTTTAAAAAAAAATGCATACTATAAATACAAGAAGAAAGAAAAAAAGAAAGAAATAGCAACATCTCTTCTCCAATAATTTACACTCCTTCATCTTCTGAGAAGCAACAGTACTGGATGGTTTAACCCTATTTAGGGATAAAGAATCCAAGACATGGGGGCCTATTTTGAGGAAAGATGTGGTTCTTGTGTGAAGCAAGAAATAGAAACACCAACAAACTGTCCAAACAGGAAGGCAAAAGGCGTGCATTTATGACTGACAGCAGCCAGTCCCTCATCTTTGTTTAGATCCCAACCTACACAGTCATGGAAATCACCACTTGTCAGAGCTGCCCTCCTTGAATACGAGGGACAGCGTACATATTGAGAGTCAGAATGAACGTGGTCTTCAAAGAAAATAAAGGACAAAGTCTTGACTCCAGAAGTACGGGATTCAACCTAGGAAGATGCTGCATCCAATCTAATGCTCGCTGAGATGGAAAACACACTCAAAACAGGATGATAACAGGGAGCTCTGTGACATGGCCCAGGGGCTCCTTTGATGAGTCATGGTGATGTAACGATCTGAGGGCTAAAGTATTCTTTGTAATCTTACAAAAAAAAAAAAAAAAAAAAGGAGAATTTGAGATAGCTAGGGAGAATTGTCTCCTTGACAATGTTGTGAGAAGTCTGATCTCTAGGCAGGTGTTTTGGCTGTAAATGACAACTCCCCAGAGGTAAAACTGTGAATGCCAGAGTTTGTATGTGACTCCATGTGAAACTGATTAAAGTACATACTTTCACAAAATGTTTCTAAAAAGGAAAACAAAGCAAAAGTTAACTCTGCTACACTCACCTCAAACATGAGAGAGGCAAAAGGGACGTCAAGGACTCGTGAGGTTAATGTGGCCACCTGATGTCCAAAGAGGCCACCCTGTCTGTCCATTGGTGTCACCTGCATGTTGGCAAACCTAGGGCTGGCTTTGGTTCTTAGGACAGCCTGGGCTATGCTCTTACATGATTACCACAAAAGCCAGCAGTGGTAAAGGTACTAGGCCTGATGTGACTTAAAAAGAACCCCCAACCCGATGCCCAGGTTTGGGACCTGACCCTCTGTACTTCTATATAGTCAAAACTAATTCCCCACTGCCCATCCCCCAACATCAAATACTTTCAGCTTTCTTACTACTATTCTGCTTAAATGAATTCATAAATAATTAAGGAGATAAGCCTATGTTTTAACTACCTTATTTTATAGGCTCTATATTTAGAAAGTCAAACTAAATAAGAGCTTCCTCTCTCTGATACTTATCACTGTGTCTTTGGTTTGGTTTGTTTTCCCATACAGCAAAGGTACTTATATTTCATTCTTATGGAATTGTAAATTCTGCCCCTACCACTCCTTCTCCTCCTTCCTCTCCTGCCCTCAATTCCCCAAATTTCCGACTTAAACATTCGACTTGCAAGGTAAATAGGCCATGAAAAGGGTGAGACCTTCGGGTGAAGAGATTTTCTTTTTACAATAGATAAGAGAATTTCCTGAGTTATAAATGAAACCTCTGGAGATATAAATAGAATACTGAAGAGTACACAGAGATATGACATTCTCTCCCACTCACTCAAAAAGTACTTCATAACTCACTGGAGACCGGCAAGTTCCATATAATATATTAATACAAAGCCTTGAGAAGAATGTCAATAGCTCCCTTTGCCTACAGATTAAAAAAGAAAAAAAAAAGTACTACTTGGTAGTTTAATGGATTTATTCCAAAGTTGCTGAGTTTATATAGATAAATAAATGGAACAAAAGACAAAGGTACACACAGGCCAAAGTCATACATATTCTATGCCAGTACAATGCACTTTTTATTTTGAACAGAGATAGTTTATGTGTAGTGCTTAGCTTTTATTTTTAAAACTTTCTAAAAATCTAGCCTTTATGACACTGACTTTCTTTTAGTCTGATCTTTCCTAATATAAAATGACTCATAAAATATTTGTGATAAATAATCTATGGTCAGAAAGCTCCTTGGGTTTCCCTGGAGTAAAGACATTTAGTAATAGCTTCAGAAAAACATGGAATATCACCACCAACTGTCACCACCATGAATGGAGAAAAGCATTAACCCACAGTGTTTCACTCCACCAAGTAAATGCACTTAAGTGCGGAATTCAGCTGTTCCCATGAATTCCACATCTGCTGTCTTTGTCTTATAATGCACACATAACAAGCAATGATCTAGTAATCTCAAAGAATATGTGTTTCCAAAGCGTACAGACTCTAGACCTAGGTCTTAGGAGGTGTGGATTCATTTTCCAGTATTCTACTTCTGTAACTTATTCCTTTGGTCCTAACATTTGTTTACTTAGGAGTAAATTTTCTCTTTTGCTTTGAAATTTAACCAATCAGTATCTTAAATATGACATTTCTTTTTGTGTGTTGAAAGGTAAAGGTTTAACATGAATGAAACTTTCAATTATGTGATAATTACAGTATAGACGATGTGAGTGATAACATGAGTCATTCCAATTGTATTTAACATGAACTCAATATCTGTCACACTCAAAATCATTTTTCAAGAAAACATGTCATAAAATGAAACAGATCATATGAACATATTAAAGTAAAGGACTAAAGGTTTAGTAAACCTTCAGATGAAAAAATAAACACGAACAAGACCTTTGATAACACTTCAGATATTGAACCATACTGATAATTTATCAGATATTTTATGGTTTATGGATGATCTAGCTGTCTGGGTAGACCATTCAACACTGTTATTCACATCACTTCTGAGATTAAATCTTCAATAAAAAATAACCATCCAAACAAAAAGCTCCCATACCATTTGTTCAAGGGTTGAGAAGCAGCTATTCTTTTCTGACATAATGCTTCATTTGGCATAAGTAGGGTTGATTTTTTTTACATGTTTCTCAATTAAATTTAATTTGATTTCTTTGTGTGTATAATACAGTCAAAGGGTGTATTCTCTTCTTCAGTGCCTATTATTAGCTGCCCCTAATAAACAGCTAATAATTTAGAAGTTATGTATTAGTAAGTCTTTGAAGTTCTGCACCATTCATTAATCTGATTTTCATGCTATCTATGTTGCTACTGCAATGTAAATAACACAGCAGAACAAGAAAAATATAGAAGACTTATTTTACTGTGACAGCAATTTGGGAAGTAGTGGCATGGCCTGGGACGCAAGAACAAATGCCTTAGTACAGAAACTGGTGTGAATTCTGTACCCACTACTATTTACCAGGTGGGGGACACCTAACGATTTCCTCATCTGCACAGTGTTGCAATGGTAACACCTTCCCCAAACATGTGTTGCAGGACTGCCAGAGGCATCAGGTATACTGCCTGTCACCATAGCAACCATTATCTATTGATAATGGTCATATTAACTTACATTATCCTTCAAAAATAGTTACGTAAGTTGACATTCAATATTATCACACATATCCTAACCACACCACACATTTCAATTTTATACATAAATGCATTTAATACATTGTTTGATGCCTTGTTAAAATTGCAATACATGACTATGAGTAACAGACACCTGCCTAAGGATATTCAAATGTGGTTATGAATTTTCCTATTGAATTCATTTATCTTTTTTTCAGAAGTTTTTCTTAGTTGTAGATGGACACAATACCTTTTATTTGATTGATTGATGATTGATTGATTGATTCTATATGTGGTACTGAGGATTGAGCTAGCCAAGTACTCTACTACTGAGCCACAGCCCCAACCCCTCATCTATCATCTTAACAACATCATTTTATGAAGTATATAATTAGAAAGTCAAACTAGATAAGAGGTTCTCTATTTGTCTGTTAGTGTTTGCTAAAATTGCAATACATGACTATGAGCAACAGACAAATATTATATTTCATATAATATTCAGTTCCATGGCCAAGAGGTCTTCTACATATAGCTAAGGTATTTGTCTATGTTTCCTATGGAATTGTATACTCTGCCTCTATTCCGCTGGCTCTACCTGATTCCCAGTTTATTTATTAAGTGCTCAGAAGTCATTCTCTGGCAAAACTGCCCAGTTTCAGAGTTAAATTCATAGAAAATTCGAGTCTATGTTCATTTGACACTCATATAATTATCCAAAAACTGAGTTACATACCTGCATTCAAAAAAGGTAAGTTATCTTTTCCACTCACACTTTCTGGGGCTGTACATTCATATACCAGGGCACACTAGGAGAAAATACAAGAGATAAATATATTTGAAAATAATCAAGATGAGAAATGAAATTACTTTTTGTTTATAAAAAGAGAAAAACATATCTCTACTATGAATCTTGTTTAATTTGTGATTATTTGCTCAAATTTATATGTAAGACATTTGTATTATACAATTATAAAGTACATCTCAGTTCTGCTTGAAGGCTATGCAGGGAAGAAACCAAAGAGTTGGGGAATATCCTAATGTTCCTAAGGAACTGTAACTAACAGAGGACACAGGAGGTTGATAAGAGACCAGGGTTCACATAGGCAGATCTAGAATTCATTTCTTCATATGAGTTTCCTTCTATCTCCAGCCCACAAATGGGGGGATTCTGGGGAAGGAGGAAAGTGAATTTTCTGACAATATGTACCAGCTATAAACAAGAGAATGTAAACAAAACAAGCAGGAAAAAATACCCTAGAAAGTTGTTTGGGTGAGTATCTATGGGAAGCATTCATCCTCCTGTAGGGTCTGCTTGGCTGAGCTCAAGAGAATGCATAGGAGTTAGAAATGATGGTGGAATGTGATGATCATTATTATCCAAAGTACATGTGTGAAGACACGAATCGGTGTGAGTATACTGTGTATACAACCAGATCACCCTCCCCAGGAGGTTGGACCAGAATTCCTTGGGCAACTTCCCAGCTGTTCTAACACTTGTCTCCTCCTACCCCTGGCCTGTCTGTCCTCAGGGTCTCCCCTCCCTGATGGGAATCATGAACACTGAGGTTCCCATTAAAGAAGGAATTGTTTCGTGTTCCTTAAACTTTGAGGAGGTAGGTATATAAATCAAAGCACTGATTCAAATGTTGCCTTCTGTATTTTTACAGTCTACTACTTATCCCTCTATCGTAATGTTCATCAGATTTCACAGTAATTTTGGGGTTGGCTGAAACATGAGCTTTTGTAACTATTTTACTGAGGTCCCAGGATAAATGAAAGAATGAAAAACTGCAAACAGCTCTTAACATTTGATACCCTCTAAATCATTTTTCTGATCAACTGGAAGTCACAGGTAGTTCCCTTCTTTTAACCCATAGCTAGTTTGGAAATGCACTTCTCAAATCACTGGAACAATGTGCAATGATGCTTGGACATACTTAAAATTCTTTATTTTTCCTCTTTCCTATATTTCTTCTACTCCTTTCAGACTCTACAGGGCTATTAAAATAATCTTCCATAAACACTATATTCATCATATCAATGTTCTGCTCTAGCATGTATAATGGGTATTTACAGACCAATCAAACCTAATATTCTCAGATGGGTCTGGACGTTTTCCCATGATTTGTCCCTGATACCCTTCCATGTAATAACTAGATATATAGCTACAAGACATCCTCATTTCCAAAAGAAGAGCATTATCAACATAACTTACAGGAAAGGTGAGATTGAACCCTTCGAGTAAAGTCCATAATTTATAGAGACCAGGCCATTATTCTGACACAGCTTTCCTATATGAGGCAGTCTGTCTCCTTGTAGTAAAAGATGGCTTCATGTTTTCTAATAGAAGGAGTGTATTATTTTGCAAAGTGGACACAGAATTGTGACCTTCACATACTCATATCTCCCATCCAAACTGGAAGGCAAATATTTAGGACAATTTTGACCTAACGGTCTTCTTCTATTGCAATTTTACTGTATTTTAAAATTCTGCTATTTATAATGCTCTCAAAATTTAGATTCAGGGCAAAAAATAGAAAGTATCCCAAAATAGGTACTCCATTAACTAATACTAATTATTTCCTTACCAGGAACCAAACTAATAGACACACTAATCTGGGACTTTTTAGCCTCCAGAACTGTAAGAAGGTAAGTTCCTGCTGTTCAAGCCACCTGGTCTAAGGTATTTTGTTATGACAGCACAAGCTGAATAAAATAGGTTTCACTACTATCTGCTTAAATGGACATGAGAGATAACATGCGTCACTCTCAGGGAACAAACTACAATGCTAACAGAAATTCCACTCCTTCATTCTCAAATTAGGCAAAGCAGTAAAAACAATGCTATTTTAGGGATGACTTCTATTTCAGTTTTTTTCCCTTTTCACATATGTCAATCATTCAAGACCTAAATCACCATTAGTAACAAATGGTGTCAATACCCTTTCTGTGGATTTGGGGTTAGCAGATCTACAGAAGGGTCCATCACTTGTAGTTCTAATATAATACTCACCCAAAATTCTGACCACATTTTGAAAACACTAAGAAAAGTTATTTCCACATATTCTTCTAAATATCATACATATTGCATCTTAATATGTTTTTCACTCAATAATGAGTTTTATAAGGGATTAACAAAAGACTTGATAGTTACTTTATAAAATATTCACAAAAGGTCAGTTTTTTTTTTTTGTTTTGTTTTTGAAAAATCCAGACACGACAGAGATGCTGCCATCTTTGGTTTGCTGCCCTTCTTTGTCAACTTATGACTCATCCATGGTGTCTACTGCCGCCTTCTATTTCTAGAATAGCTCAGTTACACCTTTTTGTTTTTTTAAAGTTCTGATGATTGAGCCAGAAGTATTATATAGGACTTAGGTGGGGCATTTTCCTAGGTATCAAGTTCTCTCTCTATGAAAAGAGCATGATTCAGTGTGTACTATCTCCAACAGAGACAGTCTGGAGGCGAAGGGCGGGTGAGCTGGAGGAGAAAGGGGAAGTGGCTGGGAGTAGAGCCAGGAAAGCGGCTCTGCTTTGAAATGGGAAGGGTTTCTGCTACTGGTCTCCTGGTCCATGGCTACAGGTCCACGTATGGTAATCTGTCTACCCCTGCATCCAGTCCCCCACTTAGCATCTAAATCATCTTTCCCTAAACTTGATACAAGAGTTCATGGGATGGTGACCAAGATGAATCTTATATGGGACTCCAAAAGGAACAATGCTGGAACGAAGGGACCAAACCAGGACAGGGGTCTTGAATGCAGAAACCCAGTGAGGAGCTCCTGCCAAACTTCACCCCAGCCCTGACATTTGCAAGTGACCTGATTTAAACTTTAGGCCTTCTTGGAATATTTTTATGATACATAATAATGTCCCAATGGGAACGTGAGGGAATAAAGAATAGCAAAGTTTAGGGGCAACATAGAAGATGCTGGCTGATTCTGGTACAAGAAAAGTATTTTTTTGAAAATCTTAGATATTTTATAAAAATTAATTATTTGTTAAGTGTTGGATAAACATCTTCTTCCATGTCAATGTTTCCTAAGTATCAAAATTAAACATGCTCCAAGATAAGAAAAATAAACTAGAAAATACATCACAGTGGTCTTATAATTTTAAAATGTTCATTTATGAAAAGGTAGGTATTAAAGTATATAAAACAACTCATTTCCTCCCTCCCCCCCAAAAAAGAAAAATCCTACTGGCATTTTTAAAATATGTTCTTGTGCTTCAATTGCTTCCATAAAATAGGCAACTGTATTCCTAACAAAGGAATTTAGTTTAATATTTATATCAGGTGTTTCTTTCTTAGGGAAAAGGAAGCAATAGGAAGAGAAAATTCTGTACACATATTTGTTTGCACTGAGCCTTTATCATGGGCTTCAAAAAAGCTGCTTCTGGCTGGCGTTGTCCCTCCGCTAGAGCTGTCCCTCTGCAATATATTATTTCCTGCCTCTCTCTGTACAATTTCACAAGGCACGCAGTTCTTGTTAAATCTGCCTTCTATCACATAAAAAGGAAATCCAAATTAAAATTGCATCTCTTTCCAATGAGACCTCTGGGAGGAGAGAGCACGTTACGTTTTGGAAGAGCCCTCCCAGAATCTTCTGTGCATCTCATGCAGGGTTAATTATGACAGAATGCAACCATGATCAATACTTTTGTTCCAGCTGAGAAGAGGCAGTGTCAGCAAGGGAGCTGGCAGTGAAGAGAAAGGTGTTTCTGAATGGTGCGTAGCCCGGCCTCGTTCCATACAAATGGACCCTCTGGTTCAGAGGATGAAACACTCATGTACTACTTCAATTCCAGAGCTGATTCTCATTTAGCTTTTGAATAATGAGATTTCAAACCCCACAGAGTGTTAGTGATACAGGCATCTGGCAAAGCTGATCCTTTCTAATTTAATTTGTGCAAGGAGCTGATTGCGATCCTACCTTTTGTCCCTGCACATCTGTTGTGATGTGGTCGGCTTCCCCATCCTCGATCTCCCCCATCTTCACGACACTGACTTCTATGGTGCCAACCACTTTGCCACCATCTGAAGTTCTGCAAGCACAAATCAATGAAATTCAGAGGTAAGAATCTTCTCTCTCTAAACATGTTCAAATAACACTTGTTTCTGAAAACCAGTAACATTGCTATTTACCTTGTCTTAAACATATCTGCTTAAAAAAAAGCAAATTATATTACCTGTATTGGTATTTTTAATTTCAAATGAAAATTAGAAATGAATTTATGAGATAAACTAGATCAAAAGCTACTTCAAGAATAGGAGTCTTCCTAAAGAGTCTCAGGAGCAGCCTCAGGGAAAGAACATTGTGTCTCCAACCTGTAGCCATCAAATGTCTATAACAGCATAAACCATCGTCCCTCAATCCCAACTGCATGACCTAGAGTACTTGCCTATCCCAAAAAATAGAAACGAAAATAAATAACCATGTATCCATCTATGGCTGAGCCACTGGCTACAAAATCTAACTTTGTACATTTTTCCCTAGTGTATTTTTTTCTTCTAAGATAAAAAGGTAAAGAAAATTCTCTCCTAGCAAACATTAGTTAAGGCACATGCAAAGCAGAACATAACCTAGAGTTTATTTAGTATGGCCTCTTATTTTTCAGACAAAGAAGTTGATACACAAAAGGATAGGAAGACTAGTCCAAGGTTACAACATAGCAGCCCTGGATCTAGTCTTCCTCAAGTGCATTGGTCATTGAATAACTCTTCTAAACTTAAAGATAACTTTATTAGATTTTTATCATCATTATTTTCATCAGCATAAAAGCATTATGGTTAGCAATTACTATGGAAGCCAAAGATAAACTAATGAACTACCACACATTAAAATTCTTCTGTTTCTCTTTCTGGGCAAGAAAACCTTTATAATAAGTGCTGCCCTTATACCATGGAAACACTGTGACACATAACAACATGTTTCCCTCCAGTCCTACTGTGAAAGTAGGTCGCATGTTACCCCACAGGTCTGACATGCTGCTGTACCTTCTCTCTAGCCACTCTGACTGAATGACAGTGATCATGTGACACTTCATTTTCTTTTTGAGTTATGCTCTTTTCTGAAATTTGCTTTTCATTTTAATCGGAGTACGAATGGTGTATCTCTCTTATCCAATCCCTTCTAAATGTTGCTATGTTATTATAAGAGGTATCAGAAAAGAGGAATAAAAAATCAGTACGTTTAACAAAAAAGACTCATTAAAATAATGAGGAAACTAAGTGAAAAGGAAGCATAACTACATTACTAGGTCATGATACATTTTTTTCCAGCAAAATAATGGGTACAAATTAAAAGGCACCTTTTGAATTATGTTTTTACGAAAATTGGAGTAGGAAAATATTAATGTACACAATGAAGGTCAAAATGCAATAAACTAGAGATGATATAGATAGAAAAAATTGACTTATTAGATCAATATTTACACTGAAATATGAAGTAAAATGCTAGTGGGCTATTTTAAAATCAGTGGCAATTATCATAATATTGACACAATTATTTGACATTAATATAGAAAATTCAAACATTCATCACCATGAAGATACACACAGGAAACGTTATAATCTGTGATACTGTAGAAAACTATATTAGCTCCAATTCTGGGATAGCTTTAAATAACTCATTACATCATTTTCCACTTAAACATGACATAATGACTTGTCATAGGCATTGTGGGGCATACCTTGGCATGATTCTTCCAGCCTTGGTAGTGTAATAAAAATCCTCATTGATAGTATGAATTTCTTTTTCTTTTTTAACTGGAGATTTGCAGACTCCTCCCAACAAAAATAACCAGTTAGCTAAATGAATAATGTTATCTTTTTCTTCTCAAAAGGAATTGTTTAAAAATAATTCCTTAACAAAACTAAGCTAGCTTAACTTCCAGGAATGTAAATCCTATGTGTAACATTCTAAATTTTTTTTAACAAACTAATCCAATAACACACCTAATGAGTTAGAACAGTAGGTAAAGCTTTCACAGCCACTTCCAGGGCTGTGTGATAATTAAAATGACGTCTGTCATAATGGTGACAAGTGTCATCTCAAGGACTGGGCTGGGCAATCACATAACCATATGAGGCTAAGTTTTCCTCATTTGGAACTCAATCCTCCTCTCAAGGATTAAATTCTGTGCTCATCACAGTGCCTAGGAGTTGTACTTATATATTAGCAGCATCAACAGAATCATTAATGATATTAATGCATCAAATCATATTTAATGTGATTCTCCTAAGAACTGTTACTCAAAAAAATATCTAAGATTACAGTAAAAAGAGTATAGGATCTCATGGCATGTGCATTTCAAGAGTGACTGAATGCTTACTGGAGATACAAGACTTAGTGACATTCCTGGTCATGCAAAGAATACAGATCTATAACTATCACAGTCCAAGTAAACCTTTCAAAATGCTGAGAACATAAAAAAAAAGCAATACACAATGGAAGACAACTTTTGAGCTATAATCTTTTGTAGTTATCTAGCTACTTGTTCAATGATTTGTCTGCCTTCTGGGTTTCCAGTTTTATCTCTTATTGGCTTCTACTTAGTCACTAAGTAGAATTAAAGTCAGGAATTTGCTTAATCTAGTGATACCACAGAATTCTAGAGACGATTTCTCCCCAAAATCATTTTAGATACATAGTTCTTTGGAGTACCCTAAAGTATATCTCCTCATCTTATATTTGTAGAAGATGAAATGTTGAACCCAGGTTAAATAAACTCAAAACAACCCATATAGTGCCCTGTCACTGAATTAGAATATAGAATATAGAAGCCAATTCTTAGTATAACAATTTACTACACACAACAGATATCAATGCTTCTCTTCAATCCAGAAGGTCCATTCAAAGATGACATCACAGAGATTTAGAAAACAAATTTACTTGTAAATGATTAATTACCTATCACCCAACAAGTTGGGGAAACTTAGTAATAACAGCTTAACCATTATGCACCACTGTTTATGCATCATGTTTTAACCAATAGAAATTCATCATATATGCATAGAAGATATATTGAAGAGAGTTCCGGGATAGGAATCAAGAAACCCAAGTTCTACTTCCACCTCAGCTACTAATTATCTATGTGACCAAGTACATAAAATTTCATTTCTCTGCATTTCAGATCCTTTTACTGCAAAATAAAGGGTTGATCTCTAACAGCTATCCCACACTATCGGCCCTTGAACCCCATCCTCTAGCCACTTCTATGATTTCATAACAGCCATCCTAGGCCATTACAGGTTAATATGGATTCAAGGACACTCTCAAGCACATTCTAGCCTCTCCTCCTTAATCCCACCTTCCGTCCCACTTCACTGCCCCCAAAAAACAAACCAAACCAAATGGGTGCTAATCCTGGGGAATAAGCGAACAACAAATTTGACTGAACCCAAAACAGAAGCAATCTTCAGATCCTTTCCTAGCAATTCATGTGACAATACGATGAAGTGCTCTTAGAAATATCTCAATCTACACCAAGAAAAGAAAAAGAAACTGTCATTTCAGAGACTGTATTGCCGGATCATTATCACTGTTGAAAGCAGAGTTTCATAAGAAAAGACAAAGTGGATGATAGTTCACGGCCACTGTTGTATTTCCACCACAACATCAAGGTCCTCTTTCCATCAGACTTAAATATTTAAGCATGCCAACAAGATGTGGAAGACAAGAAAGGGGGATTTCAGCAACACAAATCTACACATTTTTCTCACTTAGGTTTTCAGGTACATAATACATTAGTAAATAAGCTCTTTAAAATATGCTTTTAAAATGACTTCCTGAAGTGTCCTAACATTTTCAATCTCATATGCTGAAACATGCACAGATATTTTAGAAGTACATATACAAAATGCAAAATGTTCTTCTAATCAAGTACAATTTAGTGTACCTCATTCTCTAAACTTTTTTCCCCACCTATTTCACCACCCTTATTACAGGAAAAGAGGGGGAAAAAGAGAGAGGGAGAAAAGAAAAATAGTTCCAGAAATGTTAAACAGCAAAATGTAAATAACTTTTCTATTTTGGAAATGTCGCAGAGATGCAAAGCAACAAATGACTCTGTAAACATCCGGGAAAAAGCCTCATTAGCACTGTCAGTCTTTGTGAATATGAAGTAGCACCGGTACATACCCAGGAATCTGCAGCTGCCAGACGTGCTTGACATTGAAACCATCTAGACGTGTAACTAGAAAATGAAAAGCTCACCCGGACAGGAGAATAAACAAAGGCCATAAACGAACAGAGTCAGTCAGTCAGTGCACCCTGATGATCTTTTTTTCTGGCACAATTATACAGCAGTGCTAACCTCATGGAAGTGAGAGTCCTCTATGTGTAAGTAAGAACACCTCTGTTCTAGATGAAATTCACAAAGCCATAAAACTCTTTCAAACTTATACTCAAATAAAACTTTTAGTAGTTCTTAATAGGAATGGCTTACATATACCAAAATTTAGTTTTGTTTTTTTTTTTTGTTGTTGTTTTTTATATATATTTTCTCCTTATAGATTCACCTGCAGAAATTCCACCCACTGTCATGGAACTCCAACGTTCTTGTAAGATGAACCACAATTTTATATTCCCAGTTCAATCCCAATTTCTATTTCTAAATTACCTTGGTCTTGATGTCATTGTTGAACATTCTAGAAGCTTGACACATAACCCTTCATTTTTTCAAACCCAAACTCATGCAAAAGCATGTTATCCTAAAACCAAAACAGAAAGCACTGCTCCCTTTGCCTTTTCTTTATCCTCCCGTCACTAAGCCCTGATTCTTTCCCCATGATGTCTCTTACATGTATCTCTTCCCAACAGCAAAATCCAGATAGATCACATCTCTTATGTTACACTTGAAGACTCTATTTCTGTTCTCCAGTATCTTTCCCTTCCATTCCATCTACGCCAAGTTTTCTGCCTAAGCTCTTCTTTCACTGTTTTATTTTATTTTTCTCATGTTAAAAGTCTTCAGACAAAGCCCAATCCCTATCCAGAGAGGAGGGACTAGATAGCAACAGTCTTTCAAGGCCTGATATCACG